AGTGATAATCCAAGACGATATGCTTCATTCGTGAATGGAAAACCGGGTTTGCACATAAATAAGTGGCTCCTATGTTATCACAGTAGACAATTGGAGCTGTAGACAAGCGAATTCTAAGCTCAGAAAGTAAAGAACATACCCAACGAAGTTCAGAAGCAGTGTTAGCAACCGAACGATATTCAGCCTCCGTAGACGATCTAGCTACTCCCTTTTGCTTCTTTGAAGACCAAGAAATCGGCTGAGTTCCGAGATAAACGACATAAGCATTTGTAGATACAAAGTCATCATTATCACCTGCCCAGTCGGCGTCGGAGAAGGCATGGAAACACATGGGATTATTTTTGCGAAGTAGAATCCCATGTGACAGCGTACCTGCTTCGTTTAGCTGCACTCCAGTGAAGGTCTGTCGGTCGATGCATGTATTGAGACAACTTGTTGACTGCATAGGCTATCTCTGGTCGCATGAAAGCAAGGTACTGGAGGCTCCCAATAATGGTTCTGTATTCTGTAGGATCTGGCAGAGCTTGACCGAGATTTAGTGAGAGCTTTTCTGCAGCATTCAAAGGTGTAGAGACCGGCTTTGTGTTCTGCATATTTGTCTTGTGCAACAGATCAGTAATATATTTCTTCTGCATCAAGTGTAGTCCAGCCGTTGTTCTCGTTACTTCGATTCCAAGAAAATAATGCAAGTTGCCCATGTCTTTGATCGAGAATCTACTTGCTAGCGAAGCAATAATTTTCTCGATAAGTTGGTTGTTGCTACCCGTGATGATGATGTCATCCACATAAACGAGGAGGTAGACGATGTTACCATTAAGTCTTAGAACAAATAAGGAAGTGTCAGCTACTGAATTGTGAAATCCCAGCGAGATAAGATATGACTTGAGTTCTTGGTACCAGGCACGAGGTGATTGTTTGAAACCGTAAATTGCCTTATTTAGGCGACAGACATGATGTGGACGATCCTTGTCGATGAAACCCAGAGGTTGAGCCATGTATAGTTCATCGGTTAAGCGGGCTTGGAGGAAAGCATGATTAACGTCCAATTGACGCAACATCCAGAATTTGCTCTCTGCTACTCCGAGGACTGTGCGAACCGTCGTTGCTTTTATTACAGGACTGAATGTGTCTCCAAAATCAACTCCGTACTGTTGGTTATACCCTCGTGCTACTAGTCTTGATTTGCGCCTGCCAAGAGAACCATCAGGCAACATTTTATTTGTAAATATCCAACGGCAACCAACAATATTTTGATTCGGGGATGGTGGAACTAAATCCCAAGTTCTGTTCTTGATTTGAGCATTAAACTCTTCAGAACAGGAATTTCTCCAGTGTAGATCTCGCATAGCCTGGTTAATGGTTGTAGGGGTGGTATTTGTAAGATGGGATGTGATGGAGAGGGAGTACTTTCTGTTTGGTTTGGTTATATTATTCTGGGACGTGTTTTCATTCGCTGTGGTTGTATAGGAGGATTAGGTTCTGGGTTTGTGACATGAGTTGTTGAGGTTCGTGGTGGTGAGGTAGGAGACGATGAATTAAGGTTTTGCTGATCTTGTGGGTTTGTGTTTAACGTAATAGGTGTAGGTGGATTTGTATGGGACACAATAGTTGGGCTTGGGTTGGTATGTATTGGGCCAGTATTAGATTGAGTTATGGTTGGGTTTGGGCCTGGAGAAAAAGAATTAGTGTTTGAGTTTTGAGAGATAGAACCTGATGGAGATTGTGGAAGCGCGTGTTGAGCAGTTCCCGGCGACGATTGCGGTGAAGAATCCGAGCTTGGGGTTCCCACCACAGGCAGTGACGGAGCTTGACGAGGAATACGAGTGACCGGTGGCGACCAGGTTGGTTCAGGAATCGGTGTTTCTGGGTTTGGCTGAGAGGTTTGGATACGAAACGGGAATCGATCTTCATCAAATTGTACGTGCCTTGAGACATACAATCGACCCGTAGAGGTATCAAGACACAGGTATGCACTTTGTGTTAGTGAATACCCTAAGAAGACACACGGCTTGGATTTTTCTTGAAGCTTGTTGGTGTTGTACGGGCGGAGCCATGGGAAGCACATACAACCGAAGATTCGAAGGTTGCTGTAGTTTGGGGATCGCAGGAAGAGCTTCTGGAATGGAGATTCCATTGCTAGAGTTGGTGTTGGAAGTCGGTTTATGAGATATACAACAGCGGCAAACGCATAAGGCCAGTATGTTTTTGGGACTGCAGCTTGAGATAGAAGTGTCATACCGGTTTCTACGACGTGTCTGTGTTTTCTTTCTGACACGTCATTGTGTTCAGGTGTATGCGGAGGAGTGGTAAGGTGAGTAATGCCGTGTTCTGTGAGAAATGATCGAAGGGCGATGAATTCGCCTCCATTGTCTGAATAGAGAGTGGTAATTTGTGTCTGGAAGCGTTTCTCTACTAGTTCTTTGTACGCTACAAAGACATCTTGGACCTGAGATTTTCTTGTGAGAGGATATAGCCATGTGTATCTAGTAAAGTGATCCACCAATACAAGGTAATATTTATGATTTTCAATAGAAGTTATTGGAGAACTCCAAACATTAGAGAAGATTATTTGTAATGCGCGGGAAGGTAATAGAGGTTTGTGAAAAAGGAAGTTTATTGCTCTTATTAATCAAACAATAGGTGCAAGACAATTGTTTTTGAGAAGAAGAAGACAAAGGCAAATGAAAAGAGAAACAATAGAGTTTAAAATAGAAGAAGATGGATGTCCTAAGCGGGCATGCCATTTATTGGTGCTGGTTTTTGGTGAGGGAGTAGCGAAGAGGGAATGAATGGTAGATGGTGTCATTGGCCACTCGTAAAGCTCATCTTTAGTCCTTCCTTGGAGTAATGGGACCCCTGTGCTGAGATCCTTCACCTGAAAGTGAACCGGGAAAAATTCAACAGACACTTTGTTAGAGTTACACAATCTATAGACAGATATCAGATTCCTTTGAATGTTAGGAACATAAAGGATATTGGTTAAAGATAAAGGACGAGAGTTTGAGGGTAGTAAGGAAGAACCAGTATGCGAGATCGTAAGACCAGAGCCATCTCCGATCAATACTTCATCATTTCCTGCATAGGGTTGATGAAGAGAGAGATTTGCAAGATCACTAGTGATGTGATGAGTGACACCACTGTCAAGAAGCCAGTTGTTTGCCGTGTACTGAGCTTGAGGAGCCATCTCCATGTTTGCTCTTGGTTGATAGGGTGAGAAAGGACTGCGTTGAGTGGTGTCATTGCTGAGGCGATTAGCTTGAGATTGGTTGCATCTTCTTGCGGTGTGACCGTGTACTCCACAAAGCTGACACCTCCCAAGGTAAGGACGAGGTTGATACCCATCGGATCTGCCATTGTTTTGGTACTAGGAATTTGGAGTTCTGTTATTGGTATTGTTGCTGCGAGTGTTGTATTGCTTGTTGTAGGAGCCACGGTAGTTGTTGGTATTGTTGCTGCTGTTACGGTGAGTAGCAACGTTTGCTGAGACAGGAAGAGTTGGCTGCTGCTGGGGAATGAATGGTGGTTTGAAGTTTTGCCTCATAGTTAAGTAACCTCTCGTGGACCTCTGTTAATGATGGCGGGTGTCTCTGCTTTCAATCTGATCCGCGACAGTCTTGTAATCTTCTGATAGCCCATCGATGACAAACTCCACTTGATCTTCTAGATCATAAGGTTTACCCAAGATGGCGAGTTGATCAAAACGGGTGATGAGACCTTGCATATACTCATCGACAGTCTTGCTTCCCTTCTTCCAGTCTTTCACTTGTTGACGGATCTGTTTAATATGACCTCAGTAGGTTTAGCGTAAGTCGCCGCAAGTGTTTCCCAGATCTGATGTGATGTTGTTGCTCTTGAAAGCAAGGTTGTATGGTGGGTGAGATTGATCCAAGTAGAGCAATGAAGACAAGTTTGTCTTGTTTCGTCCAGTGGGTATGATCTGGGTTGACGACAGGAACACCATCTGTGATGATTGTTGGTTGAGGAACTTCAAGAGAACCGTCAAGATGAGTGGCGAGATCGTAAGCATCAAACAAGGCATGAACTTGCCTACTCTTCAATAATTCATATTTCATCTGTAGCTTTCAAGTTGATTAGGCCTGGGCATTCGGTTTTCGGTTCGGTTTCGGTTCGGTTAATTCGGGTTTCGGATTTTTCGGTTTTCGACTTCAGGTAACCAAACAGGAACCGCCCAAAAATCGGTTCGGATCGGTTCGGTTTCGGTTCAGATCGGATAATTACGTCAGGAACCGGTAACTACCCAAAAATTATCGGATCCGGTTTGGTTCTGGTTACTTTTGTACTCAATCTACCCAAAAGTACCCAGAATAACCGATCTACCCGAATTACCCAAATAAAAAGTATCCAAATTNCAGGAACCGCCCAAAAATCGGTTCGGATCGGTTCGGTTTCGGTTCAGATCGGATAATTACGTCAGGAACCGGTAACTACCCAAAAATTATCGGATCCGGTTTGGTTCTGGTTACTTTTGTACTCAATCTACCCAAAAGTACCCAGAATAACCGATCTACCCGAATTACCCAAATAAAAAGTATCCAAATTACCCAAAAAATACTTGAAATACTTAATTTTCTTTTTTTAAAAACATTAAAGTTTATAAATATTATTTAATTTTAAAATTATAACTAATGAAATGTGAATATTTTAGTATTTATTTCAAATGTAACTAAATATTTTTGGATTTATAACATAATTCAAATATTTTAGTTATTTAACATCTAAATATAAATAGTATTTTCAGATATGTATTATATTTCGGGTACCCAAAAGTACCCATTCGGTTATCGATTCGGTTTCGGTTCGGTCCGGGTACCCGTAATATTTGTAAACAGGAACCGTTCTGGTTATTGTGTTTTCTAGTCCGGTTTCGGATCGGATAATTTCGGTTCGGTACGGTTCGGTTTTTCGCTTCCGGTTAATTTTGCCCATGCCTAAAGTTGATGGTAGTTCAAGTGTACGATTTTGGTTGCATCTATGTGAAAGAATAATAGTGATAGCGAAACCATAACTATGGGCTCACCCAGTTACTAACGGCAGAGCTAAATAAACTGTAACAGAAAAACAGAAATGCAATTACTGGAGAGTGATCTCAAATGTATTGTTAACAACACGTGTGTTCCTCTTTTTGAGAGTATCTAAACACAAAGAACAAAAAAGGTACTATTTTCTTGAAATAAGGAAAGCTGTAACTACCCTCTTCTGCTTCGTTGGTTATCTACAAACATGCGAAAAACACACGACATTATCAGAGCATATCCCAAATTATAAAGGACTAATTTAAATCCACTTTCACTTGGCAATTCAACATTCATATATAAACAAAAGTTAGGATTCATATATCTTCATGCATAAGTCCCTTAATCGAATCACAAAGTCTATTAGCAGTTTAGATTAAACCGACTCGAGAGCTAAACAACAGAAAGCAAAAGGTAACTCCTACAACAACAATTCTTCTAACAACCGAATTTAGAAGACTATCAGCAATACTTGACGGAAACAACAAAAAAACGAGTGTATAAGTTAGTGCATGGTTACACATATTTAGCCAACTTCAATTCAATGAACAAATCCTATTAGATGTGCAAAATTACTTAATTAGTAACTAGAGAGAACAAAAGTCTCCAAAGCATTTAGTAGCCTTTTTTATTGTCTATGAAGCAAGATTAACCAATTTTAAGAGCATCAACTTAATGCCTAAAGACGTTATAAGTGGTGGAAGGGAAGAGGAGGATTTCGATTTACCTTTTAAGTGGCGCCGACGATGATGTTGTTGATTGGAATGAAGATGAGCTTCACAAAGAATCCCACGAATCCCATTACTACAAACCCTATCGCTGTACGGACCGCCACTTTCGTGAATTCTACCAAATCAAAACCAAAACCAAACACACAGATTCAGACATAATGAAGAAACAACAAAACACGGATCTGTCCTTTCAACATAACAGATCTTCGAAACCGCAGATAAATCGAGCAGATCAGACGATGAAAACATACAGATCTCTCACATGCATCAAGACACGAATTACAAGGAAGATGTGTATACCTTTGCGATCTGGTTTGTGACAACGCTTAACGAGACGAATGCTGTCCTTGGCGAAATCTCTAAGAGGATCCACGACTGAATCGATGGCGTCCATGTCGCTTTCTTTGAACTTTCTTTTTTTTTTTCTATTTGTCTTTCTTGTTTGGTTTGGCACGAAGAGGAAAAGAATTTGCTGAAAATTAATTGCAGGATAAATAGCGAGAGAGAGAGAGGGAAAGAGAGAAAATAGCGTCACATGGATATCTGTGAACCAATCACAGAACGAGCCCTGATGAAAAGTATTGCCATGTCAGCAAAGTCAAAAGTATAATGGGCTGAAACTCTATTTAGGCCCAAGCCTACTGACATAATTGATGGCGCATTATTTTTCCATCCTATAGATAACATTGTGGAAAACACACACCATCATAGGGCATATTCATAGCTTTATTTGATGCTCATAAGAACAAAGCAGAACTCATTGAGTAGCCAGCCACTAGTAAAGTGTTCGTAAAAAGAATCTAACTGTTATTACGGGTTTCGTGACAAAAAAAAAAAAAACTGTTATTAAGGGAACAAATGAAAGAAGATTTACTCTCCACGGATTCAAAGTTTGGACACACATCATCTAATGGTTATTATTACTGAGTTTATATTTCTTAAAGAAATTGCAAGAGAAATGTTCAGTTATGATTTTCCTTGCTTGTAGAATATATTGTTCAGTTACTGATATTTTGAATTATCATTTTCAAATTTCTATTTGTATAATTCAATGTAAGAGTGAAGTTTGAACCAAATTTTTTTTTTTTTAAAGTAAATGGTAATTAGTGTGATATTACAGGATCTCCACCCTTTTATAAACCAAGTAATGTGTTCGTTCTACTCTTAAATTCTATAGTCCAGTATTTTTTCCCTTTAAAAATTAAAAAAAAAATGGAAGAAAGAGAGGAAAATCCACACGAGCTATTGAAGCAGAAGCTGAGTGAGCTTGAGAAAGTATGGACCGACATGAAAACAGGCAAACTCTCATCTGCAGTTTCGTGTATCACTGTGGAAGAAGCTCTTGAGTTAATGGAAAACTCTCCAAGGAAACTGATGATCTCTCTTCAACACGATCAAGCTGGTCCAGAAGCAGAGTTGAGATCACCCTATAGGAGAAAACTCTTTCACGACTCTGAGGATAATGATGATGAGACCAGAGTGACAACGTTCTCTCTTTCCACTTGTTGGTCTTCGAATGTAATGAGAGTAGGATATAATAATAAATATAATAATGAGAAGCAGGACAAGAAGAAGAAGAGAGGAAGTATTGTCTGTGTTTGTATGATTGGTCTTTTGTTATGGGTTTTGGTTGTGTTGATCAACGGCTTTGATAATAGACAGATCAATACTTTGGTTCCTACCTGATTACTTTTCTTATTATTTTTTTTAAGAATGAATGCTTATCAAAATCAATAAAGCAAAAATGTTTTAGTTTTATGTTACTACCTCTCGCCTTCTTCTTTTAAATTCTCATCAAGGTTGATGTATTTTGGCCAAAACGGTAAAGATATATGTATTGAGTACAGAAAGTGAAGTCAAGGTATCTTTTTTTTTTTTTGAACACTATATTAAAAGGAGCATATACTTCCCCCTCATTAAGCCACGTCGGAATTTATAATCAATCAGTAAAAAATTGACATGTCAGCTTCACTTTCAAGTAATCTCCTGATTTTTGTCCATGTCACCCACTCTCGACCCGTTAAGTTTTTTCTTCCTTCTCAAATTAGGTTTTCATTGTTTTTTACTTCGACTCTTTAACCTCTTTCTCTGGCTGTTTTTTTTAATTCTTCACCTCCAAATCTTTTCATATACATGTATTCTTTGACTTTGTTCATATTCCTCTTAAATTTGATGATATTGTAGTTCAATCCGAGTCCGCCACTCAACCTTTGAAGCTCTCCATTAAGGCTGACACGGCTGCTTCGATTTGCGTTGGCATCTTACTGATTCAGGGAAGGTATGTGAAATATCTTTTTGTATATCAAATAAACAGAACGAGTTTCTGGATTTTGTAATTTTCTGATCCATCTTACCCCTTCGCATTCAACGCTAATCCAAGTGTCTATCAACGTTTACCGGTTGAACACCTTTAGAGAAAACTTGGAAGAGATATCGTTTTATGAGGTAAGCTTTTTTGATGTCACACGAGGCAACACAAACTTCAGGTATATTAACACCCATGTTACAATTAGTTTTACAGACCAAACCATGTTCATTGAGATTGCTGTGACAGTGGAACGAAACCTGACAAAGAGCTTCCGGTGGTTCCACAACTTTGACACCATCTGATTTGGCCAACACAAAAACTGATTTTCCAGGTTCTGTTTAATCTATTTCTTTTACAAGCACAACAAATAACATCTTTACATAACCCATGAAAGAAGTCTTCTTTACTTTCTTTGCACTCTAATTATTTATTCATTGCAGATAAGCTGTGTTTAAAATGGTGATCGCCTTTTGCGCCATGGCGCGAGGTGCACTCAGGCGACGGCTTCATCGCCATGTACCTCCTAAGCGAGGGGGGCTTCCGTAAGGCGCGCGCCTTTGGCAGAAAGCGAGCATAGCGAAGGCGAGTTCAAGGCGTGCCTTAGAGATTATATGTAAACCGGATTAAACCATGTAAATTGTAATGTATGAACCAAATTTTAATTAATAAATTAAACCTTTCGCACTTAAACGACGGGAAACTTGAACGTCTTAGTTTCTATGAAAGCCCTAGCTTCCTCTTCATAAAAGACAAGTTACAGAAACAGAACTAAACATAAACATAGTTCTCAAGGTTTTTTTGCTTAAGGTTAAAACTCTCTAATCTCTACTACTCTTTCCAATCTCGTGTGTGTTTATTCTTCTTAAGATTCCTTTGTTTGTGTTTATTCTTCTTAAGATTCCTTTGTTCCTTTCTCACAGAACATACTGCTATTTACGAGTTAAACAACACACGTTCACGGTTAGTTTATTACTCTCTGCTATTTACGTGTAGTTTACATGTAGTTCACTTCTCTTACTTTTTTTTTTTCTCTGGTTTGATCAGTTTGGTTTTTGTCTCAGTTATTTAAGTGTAGCTTACTTTGTTATTTTTTTTCCTTTGATCACAGTTTTAATGTAAGAAAGACTTCAATGCTGGAATTTCACGTCTCAAGCAACACTTGAGAGGGGATCATAGGAATGCTAAAGCTTGTCTTTTATGTCCACCACATGTGAGAGAGGAGTTAATCAAACACAAGCAGGTGAAGGATGACGAGTTAGCTGCTCGTAACTTGGCTCTCCAAAAAGAAGAAGAACGTCTTGACGAGTATGATGAAGACTGCAAGAAGGAAAGTCAGCCAAGACGGTTTGTCCCTGCTAAAAAGAGAGTTAGAGGTCCACTGGACAGGTATGTGACTGTCCTTCCTCCTGATATTTTGCTAGGAAGGAAAGATAGAAACGGTACTCTTGGAGCTGCTTATGATAAAGAGATAAGGACTGATGTATGTGGAAGTATAGCTAGGTGGTTTTTGGATGCTGGTCTTGCTTTCAATGCAGTCAACTATCCTAGTTTTGACAAGATGTATCAGTTAATTGGGAAACATGGATTAGGATTAAAGCCACCAACCATGTATGAATTAAGGGTTCCGCTGCTTAAAAAAGAAGTGGAGAACACTCTTATCCAAATTGAGGAGAACAAGAAGGAGTGGGCTAGTAAAGGATGTTCACTTATGTCTGATGGTTGGAGAGATTCAGTGGCTAAGAAAGACATTGTTAACTTCCTAGTTAACAGCCCTAAAGGTTCTGTTTTCATGAAGTCTAAAGATGTTTCTGAAGTGGTACGTGATCTGAATTAGTATTTATTTCCAACGTAACGTTTATATTATTTGTTTTAACACTTTTTTTTAGGTGAAAGATGCAAAATTGTTGTTTAACTTGCTAGATGATATGGTTGAGGAGATTGGAGAACCTTATGTAGTTCAAGTCATCACAGACAATGCAAAGAACTATATAAAAGCTGGTATGTATGATCTGAACCAGTATTTATTTTCAATTTGTTTTAACACTTTAGATTTTTCCTTTTAATAACACACTAACACTAATATAAAATATTTAAATGCAGGAAAATTGCTTGAAGCAAAAAGACCTAATCTCTACTGGACTCCATGTGCTACCCATTGCATTGATCTAATGTTGGAGGACATTGGCGAAATTCCAGCATTATTGAAGAATGCAATGAAAAAATGCATGTTCATGAATGGGTATATCTACAGCCATGTACCTCTTGTGAACATGATGAGGAGATTCAAAAAGCAAAGGAATCTGCACAGACCGGCTATAACAAGGTTTGCTACTTCTTGCATAACCATGACTCAGTTTCTCAAATAGCAGAAACCTTTAAGGGATATGGTCAACTCTGCTGAATGGAGTGAGTCCAAGTGGCCCAAAGAAGCTGGAGCAAAAAAAGTTAGACAATATCTTATGCAAGCGAGTTTTTGGAAGTACATTCGACATGCTCTGAAGCTGACAACTCCTCTTGTCAAAGTACTTAGGATGGTTGATGGAGAGAAAAAACCGGCTATGGGATACATTTATGCAGCCATGGATAGGGCAAAAGAGACAATCGCAAAGTCTTTCAACTGGAATAAAGAGAAGTATGAAAAAGCCTTTGAGATCATTGACAAAAGGTGGCAGTGTCAGCTTCACCATCCTTTGCATGCTGCTGGGTATTTCCTAAACCCTTCAATCCATTACAAATATCACGATGATGTACGTTGTGCTGAATTGGAAGGGGGCTTGTACAATTGCATCACTAGGTTGGTCTTTTAAAGTATGTTTTTGTTTTGCATTAATAGGTTGGTACACCATTTTAAGATGATAATTTTGTTTGTGTTGCAAAATAGGCTAGTTCCAGATACAAAGATTCAAGACAAGATAATGACAGAGTTGGATGCGTTCAAGGATGCTACTGGTATCTTCGGCCACGAGATGGCCATTAGGCAAAGAGATATCAAAACACCAGGTAACACAAATTTGAATTACTTTTAGACAATTAATCTAAATAAAAAACTAACAATCTTTTAATTTTAATAGCTGAATGGTGGTCTTGTTATGGATCTTTTGCTCCAAATCTCAGAAGCTTTGCTGTTAAAATCCTTAGTCTGACTTGTAGTGCTACTGGGTGTGAAAGAAATTGGAGTGTTTTCCAACATGTAAGTCTTTTTAATTACCTTTATTGTATATTTTTAGGTGATTTCGTTTAACTTATAAGTTTTAAACTTGATTTGTGACAGCTTCATACGAAGAAGAGAAATCGCCTAGCACAACATCGGCTGAACAACATGGTTTTTGTGAAGTACAACAGAGCTTTAAAGCGCAGAAGCTTGAGAAGTGACAGTGCCACCAGAGATCCCATTCTTTTGGATGATGATGACAACAATGAGTGGTTGATTGGAAGAATGGATGGAGATGAATCTGATAATGATGATTTGGTGTGGAGATATGATGATTTGCTGTGGAATGTTGTGAGCCAAGCTACGGGTGCTGAAGAATCCAGCTATTCTATTAGAGGAGCTGGGGCAAAAAGTGTAAATTCATCTAAAACAGATAAGGGAAAAGGTGTTCTTAGCTCAAATCAGAAGCAACGCTTTTCTGCGCTGCTATGACATTGGTTGATGAGGAGGATGAGTTGGAAAAAGATTTAGATGAAGATGATCTTGGATATGAAGATGTTGAGTATGATGATGAAGATGAGAATGATGACGTTTCTGAAGATGAATTTTAGATATTGGTTTTAAGTTATTTATTATGATATTATCTTTTGGTTTTCTACATTTGAGACTTTGTTTTTGGGTTTTGTTTTGATTAATTTTGTTTCGGTTTAACTATCTTCAAATAATAAAACTTGCACTTTATTTAAATTAATTGTTACGTGAATCAACCGTTGCGTGTTTTCTATTTTTCTTCTCCAATACAAGACAAACCAAGACATAACAAATAGTTTAAGTGTTATGCAAGCCTTGTTGTTGTTGTTGAAACAGGAGGGGCCGTTAGAAAGAAGGGAACAAGTTGGGATCTTCAAGGCGAGCGCCTTGGTGCGCCATGGCGTAAGGCGCAAGGCTCGGACCGGCTCGCCTTGGTGCGCCATGCGCCATTTTAAACACAGCAGATAAGCTAATAATTAGTTTTTTTTATTTGTGTAGGGTTTTAACTAATGTAATGGATGGATGCCTATCAAAAAAAAAATGAAGAGGAGAAGTCTAAGAAAGAAACAAACATCCAATTAATTATGTTATTCAAGGCAGAAGGTATGTTGCAAGTTCTGTTATTTTATAATTTTGTTTGATTATTTCACTGAGATTGCTAGGATGAAGCATAAATATATTGCGAAAGAGCTGATT